GTTGAGAAACTATAGTTTGCTGTCATTATGACTTCGTAGCCCTAAAACTATTGCAGTAAGAAAGTATATATTCAATCTTCTTTGTCTATGTGGATTTTAATTTGACATATGAATATAGAAGCCAGTTTTGTATACGAGCATTGTCGGCAGAGTTTGCACTCATACAAATATTCTTTAAGGTTGTGGTGCTGGGCCTGTTTGTTTAGTTTATTTTGGAGTTTTTGCGGTGCAAATGTGCAACTTGAGGAGTCTTTTTTTTATTATCAAGGAGAGTCTTAATTTGCAGGTATATATCAGCAGCTGTTTGCGGGTTTAGAGAAGCACAAAGACTAGCAATATCAATTGAGGTATTAATCAAATAGAATGTAAACCTTAAGACATGATCTGGCTTTCTGTGAATCCTTGTGTTCCAGATTTATTTTTTATATGAAGATATTGTTACCTAATAGTCTAAAACAATGTCGTTTGAGGTCACACTGATACTTCAAATATAAATAAGCATCCTATTTTATCATTAATATGTTATGTACCTCTAGAATCTCATGGTCTTTTCCTCTAGCATCTTGTGGTGCTTAGTTTTGAGCCAGGTTTGAACTATTCCACTCAAAATAGTATAGCCGCGCGGCTATAAGGTTTCTATAAAGTATAGCTGCGCGGCTAGAGGGGTCTTTTTTTATTTTTTATTTTTTTAAATAAATAGTATAGCCGCGTGGCAATACTCTTTACATGGATACTATATCTTTTTTCCCCGATTTTTGTTTATCGACAGTTTAGAGCATTTTTCATTACTATTAGGCCTTTACACGAGTCTCTCTGGTACCTTTTGGATTTTTTACTTTTCTAGAGTTATTAGTCATATAAAAAATTTAGCATTTTCATGTTTAATACTCAAATTTTACACGTACGTATGTATTTTTCATGTTTAATACACTTGATTTTTTACAAAATTTTCAATAATACACATAAAATTCACGTATTCCCTTTTTCCACTGGCTGAACGTCTCTTGCACGGGGAGGACGTCCGGCAGAAAGATATGGTTTCCATGAATTTGAACAGCATAACCCCATGACAAGACTATGGTCAATGAAAACCATCTGTCATAGCAAACTGTTTTTTGTAGAACCCTCTGACAATCAGCATTCACAGCCTTAAACAAATGTCGCAGAGCCTTGATAGTTGTCATGTTGGGGAAGACAGGGTTTATGTGATCCAAGTGACGCAGAGATACCAAGGGTGTTAATGGATGCGCAGCCAACAGACCAAATGTATCTCCATGAATATCATTCTGGTTCAATTTCACAACCCAGAACCAAAAATTTTAGTTCTTTTGATTACGACTTAAAAATAAAAACAGAGAGATGGTACAGAGAAATAAGTACCTGATGGAAGCCAGGCTCCTGAGTTAAGCCAATGCCAAGCTCTGCCAAGCAAGAGGAGATCCTGGAGTCACTTCCATATAGATGAGGATATCTTTCTATACATGAATCAAACACCTTTGCCAATACTTTTGCCAAAGGGGAACTTATAGCGAAACCAGCACCACCATAAGCCATTCCAAATCCAAAAATTCTGTTCTGCTCATAGATCTCTGAGTTTGTCCCAATGTAGTACCACAGCCTATGATCATACTTAGAAAGTGTCTTCACCAAATTTTCCGGAAAGAAAACCATGTCATCGTCCCCAAAAACATACCACCGCACATTCGAATGGTTGAGTGCCATGGTCTCCAAAACAACGCATGCCACACGGATTGCAGACCTTACAACCTTCTGAACATTGATATTTAAGTTTTGATGTTCTTCCAAGAATAGGAAAAGGAATGACGCTTACAGCATTCCCACAACCTTCCGAGTATTTGTTATATTCTGTGTCCCTTGAATGATATGTGCCAATCCAAAATCTGAAATTTTTGGGTTCATTTGCTCATCCAAGAGAATATTACTGACCTTCAAATCTCTATGAATTACTTTCAAATAAGACTCATGGTGGAGATAAAGAAGCCCTCTAGCAATACCCTGAATAATATTGAAGCGTCTGCCCCAATCAAGCTCAGGTCTCCGCACTGGATCTTTTAAATGCAAGCATTCGAAATATAACCAATAGTTTCATTCATGTATCCTATCCTATGCATTGAACAATGAAACTATCACTAGATTTTTACGTTTAAATTTCTATAGAAAATACTGACGCATTTGTATGAACAATAGTGAAACAAGGGTGTAATCAGATTCAAAATTGTTTTCAGGTCTAGTTTAACATTGTCTCTTCTACTTTATAAAGAACTGAAACGTACTCATGTAGTATACAATTCAGTTTACAGTTATGTGCATTAAATCTGCAGGATGTCTTGCTTGACTGTTTGTGTTGCAAATAAATCAGCGATTCTTTGTATCAATCGAAAATAATTTTGATTCTTTGTGCCCGAACATTTAGTTCATGTGAATTCATTTGTGGCTTTAAGTTAGTAGGCAAATTACAAAGATAAAGTCCAGTGAAACTAACCAAATAGAAGAGTGTCCAAGCTTCTGTTTGGCATGAACTCATAAATCAGTATCTTCTCATCTTCTTTGACGCAGCAGCCCATGATCCTAGCAAGAGTTTTATGTTGGAGCTTTGAGATCAACAACGTCTCATTTTTTAACTCTTCTATGCCTTGCCCTGAGCTACTAGAAAGTCCTTTTACTGCTATTTCCTTCCCTTCTCGTAGGGTACCTACAAATTAATCACTTCATTCATGTCCTTATCTGTTATTGTAGCTGTGTGATACTATATTTTCCTTTAGAAAGAGAAAAACAAATAAACAATCACCTTGTAAACTGGACCAAATCCTCCTTACCCGAGTTTGTTTGTGATGTTGATATTGTTCATTGCGATCAATATGCTATCAAAATTATAGATGAATAGCTCCGATGGATCTTGGTTTATGATATATTCTTGAAGAGTGTCTCTTGAATTCTCCGTAGTATCAATACTCAGCATTCGCGATATACCTGAAATTTTGTGTATTGAATAATTATTTGTTATTTGTTACTTATTAGTGGTTACTTTAGTGATTTCATAATGCAAAATCCATTTAATGTTGTATTTTCTGAAGCCCAGGCCCTTCTCTCTTGCCCAGGCCCTTTTCTAAACCCTAAACATAACACGCAACCTCTCGTCTTCTTCAATCTCATCGTCGTCTCTCTCTGTCGCCTCATATCACCATCGTCTTCTCGTCCCAGACCTTGGAGTTCCAAAATGGCCTTTTCTTTCTTCTAGGCGCCAGCGCTAGGCCATGTATTCAGATATGAGTGACAGTCTGTTCAAGGATTTAACTTTTAAAGAAGATTTCCGAGAGTTGGAAAAGAAAGAGATGAAGCTTACATTGTTCCTACAACCTTGTGAGTATTTGCCAGACTCTGCGTGCCTTAAACGATACGTGCCAATCCAAAATCTGAAAGTTTTGGGTTCATGTTCTCATCCAAGAGAATGTTACTGACCTTCAAATCTCTATATATTACCTTCAAACAAGAATCATGGTGGAGATAAAGAAGTATATTACATAGGCTTAATTATTTGAATCCGTCAAATGATATGAGTACATATGCTATGACTATTAGAAGTATATTACATTTTCTACAGAATATACACTCCCAATAAGCTTATTAGATATTCGTCTGAGTTCTGGGTGGTACAGCAACAAAAGCTTTAATGAAAGGCATATAAACATGGAAGAAAGAAACAATGATGAAGAAGGTAAGATTTTCACACAACTATCCGGATTCTGTTACCAACGTACTAACAAGGAATTTGAGGTTTCACATGACTTTCGGGAAGCAGAAAAGCAGTTGGAATTGGAGTCCAAATGTGGCGGTGAGTGTATATATAGACCAAGTTTAGAGATTATGGACTAATAAGAACTAAAAGAAAACTCTAAAGCGCACATCTCCTCTGTTGCAGATGGTTTCATTGCAAGATGAGCAGGTCAGTTCCAAGTTCTTGGTTATTTACAATTTTGAAGTCGTTTCAGATTCTGTCTTATTGAATGTGTGAACAACTCTGTCCGGGTACCTATATCACACAACATTTACTGGAAGGAGTCATCGATGCTTGTGTATGCATGTCTCGGTGGCTTTTCTTATTGTTCACATTGTTAAGGTAAGTTATTTTACAATGTAGTTTTGTATAACTAAATAAGCTTTTCATCAAAAGATAAGATCATCACTAGAAATGTAGTCAAGTTCGATCTTTCCAATTCCTTTGGTCACACATCACAACAAAAGCATGATAACTCAAATGAATGCCCTAAGAACCATGAAAGGAAATTATAAAGCTGTCCGGAGGACTATAAGCTGATTATGGGTGCACTTGGATTGAAATTAAGCTTTAGAATTTCTTATTTTTTTTTAAAAAGAAATAGTATAGCTGGCTATACTTTTTTTTTTCAAATTTATTTAAAATAAATTGTATAGCTATACTCCGTTTTTTCTATTGGTTTTTCAAATTTTTAAAAAAGAAATAGTGTAGCCGGCCGGCTATACCCGGGTTTTAAATTTTATTTAGAAGTAATAGTATAGCCGTCCGGCTATACTCGGTTTTTTTAATTTTTTGAATAAAAAATAGTATAACCGCTCGGCTATAATGGGGTTTTCTATTTTTTTTTTTATAAAAGAAATAGTATAGCCGCCGTTTTTCTATTTTATGTAAAAGAAATAGTATAGCCTCCGTTTTTTATTTACTTAAATGAAATGGTATAGCAGCGGGGCTATACTTGGTTTTTTCAAATATTTTCAAAGAAATATTATAGCCAGTCGGGTATAAGCAGTTTTTAAATTTTATTTAAAGGAAATAGTATAGCCACATGACTATACGCGGTTTTTCTAATTTTTTTTTAAGAAACAAATAGTAATGAAGAACAAACCTATGATGTAGATGGTTGGCTGGCTGCATGGAAGGTGAGTGGCTTCATGTCCATGGAACGCATGTAACTTAAAAACTCTCCAGGCAGCTCTTCCAAAAGACCTTGAACAACAGAAATCTGCCCACCTGTTACATTAATCACGCAGCTATATGCCTTCAAATAATATATTTAAATATAGTATAACCGTGAGACTATAATATATGAGGAATTATTATCCCCACAATCTTGATTTCCGACGCAGAGCATACCCAATGCATCCACTTATTCGAGCTGTTTAGGATCATGATCTGTTACTCATTTTTATATTGTTCTCCTATCATTGGCCATCTTTAATTGTAATACTCTAATTAGGTAATAATTATATATGAATATTTGAATTGGGTTATATTATTAGTTATTGAAATTTGAAGTTTTGTAGCGTGTTGAGCTTTAAGATGGTTTGGTACTCTAGAAAATGAGTTAAGTATGGAGCAAGTTGTGAATTTGTTTTTTGCACTTGAGCTAACAATACATATATAAAAGGTATAGCCGCGCGGTTAAACTCGGTTTTTTTAATTTTTTAATTTTTTTTTAAAGAGATAATATAGCCGTCCGGATGGTTCTGGAGAAGACTATAAACTGCTACCTAGTGGTCCAGCTTCATTGCCAGATGAGCAGGTAAGTTCCAAGAATATCAGAACTTCTAAGCCTATATTCTGTTGCAACTTCCTTGTCATCTGCAATTTTTAAGTGGTTTCAGTTTTTATTTTATTGATATGATGAACAACTCTATCCAGGTGCCTATATCACACAACAACGACAACGTTTACTGGAAGGAGTTATTGATGCTTGTGTATGTCTGGGTGGCTTTTCTTATTGTTCAGATTAGGTAAGTTATTTTACTTTGTAGTTCTGTACAACTAAAGAAGCTTTTCTAGGAACTCATCTATTCGCATACCGGACCTTAAAATGCTCTCCAAAAGATACGATCATCACTAGCAATGCAATCAAGTTC